CTGTGCCTTCCTCCATTGCTGTTATCTGACCTCTATTAACTGATTGAGGATGTAGAGTTACCATTTCCCAAGACACCTGCATTTGAATCATAGCTTTCAGAGCCTAAAGAAAGGGTGGTATCTCTAAATTCACAGTGAATGAACACCTAGTGCCTTTTCCTTTTCATAAAATCAGTCCTGTTACAGTAGTATATAAAGACCTAACATACAATGTTTCATAGTTCCTCCAAGCCACTCCTCCTGTTTGCACCCAAAGAACAAAACAGAAGTAGCCGTAAATATTTCCAAAAATCCTAAAATCTAACCTAATTTCCATGATTAATCTAACCTAATTTCCATGATTTTTAGATTCTATATAAAAATGCAGTTTGTGACCCCCGTACACAAGTTGGCCTGTGTCTAGCTAGTGAAATTTTTAAGGCCAAGATTTATGTTCCTAATTCTGCCCTGGTTTCCATATTAAGTATGGGATTTTAACTGGGGTTCAGGGGTGGGGGGTGGGGGAGTCTCAGACAGATGAAATTAATCATGGCAATAAAACAAACCCCAGGAACTCAAGTGAATAGAAAACACGTAGGCTAGAAAAGAAAATTAAACTTAATAAACTATTACTATTCAGTGAACTTAGGTGGATACATCTGTTAAAGCTATCTTAGCATGAGTTTTTTACAGTATATCTGTATTCTTTCAGGGAGGGTTCCAAGGGAAAAGATAAAGTCACTGAGTCCATAGTGCTTAGGACATATGAATAGAACGGAGGACACAGAACGGTCTAAGGAAAATTCCTAAAATTTACAGAGTAGATAATCTTATAGCATATAGCAGCTTTAGAATATCACCAAAAAATAAAATCTTATTTTTTAAATTACCTCAGTCAGAATTTGAAAATGCTATAAAATGTTCCCCAAAGTTCAGTGCATACAACAGAACAATTTGAAGCATCTAAGATGAGAACAAGCATTTACTTCTTTAAACATTTTTCAAAGAAAAAAATAAGTTTTACTTAAAGGCATTCAAGCTGAATTCCAGGACTACTGTTTTTGCTAAATGTTATTTCATTTCAAAAAAACAAACAAACAAAGATATTCAGGGAATTTTTTAAATTAACTATTACTATGAATTCTCTTTTCTAGTATTAACAATGCTCTCTGCATTGTGTGTGCATTTATTTGCTGGTGTCCAAATGCACCAGTATAATTAGGAAGCGAAATGGATCACATAGATTTGGGTCAGCATAATTTTAAAAGGGTGGTATGAAGATGACCAAATGAATATATGGTATACTAATTTTCAAAAAGCCATAGTGCATTTGCACATAAGCAAGCAGTAAAATGATTCAGATGTCTGAGGAATAGCCTATTGCATTGGGATTTTAGGGTTTTCTATATATTAATTATTCTGGCATAGAGAGGTAAATGTAGTTTAATAGGATGTCTGTTTATCGCAAAGCTAATTAAATCATTTTTAATAAGGCTGATATGCTCCTATATGTACCTACTAAAAATTAAGTGGAATGTGAGATTTGTGTATGTTTGCTGAGCAAGCATCCTTATATAAATTCAGAGAATAAATCTGAAACGTGCTTTGGGGAGCACATTTTATTGCTCCAATATGTTCAGAGACCTATGCCAAATGAGAGTTATATTTCTGTCCTTTTTTGATCATGTAGCTTCCTTCAGCCCTGGGTGCCTTTTCTACATATCAGGACTTTTGCAGGACTTTTCAGAATCAAGTGGCTGACAGGAGTCATTCTCCACTCTGCTCCCCTCCATCTAGGCAGGTGTATTTATAACACCTTCCCTCTCACCCCCACGGATTTATGAATTTTTTAAAATGTTGTGTTGGGACAAAGATTCGTTACAATCTCCCAAACATATTCTGTGTGCCTCTCCTAAAGCTTCTTATTGTGTTCTTAAGCCCAGGTCTTCCTCGCTAGTCTTGAAATGTCAGAGATCTGGAGCAGTTACTGAGGATAAAGTGGACAGAGTACTTGAGGCAGAACATGTAGCTCTGGGATTCCGCAGTGTTGGCCCTCTAGGTGCTTCTTTCCAAATGCAGCACCAAAAAAGTTTAGTCTAATCTTCCTTCAGATAGCGACTACCTCTGGAAACCTAGGTTGGTGTTAGTACAGTGTGGGGTCCACCATCTGCTGTCTATAGCCCAGAAGCTAGGATAGGTTTTACATGTTTTAAAATGGTTGGGGGGGGGGGGGTCAAAGAAAGTAATATTGTGTAACATGGGAAAATTATATGACAGTCACATTTGAGTTCTCTAAATAAAGTTTTATTAGAACACAGCCATGCTCATTCACTTATGTATTGTCTATGGTTGCTTTCATGCTACCATGCAGAGTTGAGTTACTGAAGAGGCATGAGACCTCTTCAGTCAAAAATATTTATCCGGCCCTTTACAGAAATATTTCTGAACCCTTGCAGTAAAAAACAGTATAACTGGGGTTACTGGGGTCATAGGAATTCTAAAAGTCACTCCCTTAGGACTATAGTCCATTATTGGTAAAAAGCAAATACAAAATATAAACCAAAAGAAAATGACTAATCTGTACTTCTATTGCCGTGTTTGCTAGCATTGTTGTTTTTGTTTTTGAAATGATAATGGAGAGGATAAAGAATTGTTTACCCATACCAGGAATAAGTGTATGTCCTGTGGTCATCACGCTCATAAATTACACGGAAAAAGATGGTTACACAGCCCATGCAGAGTCAACTCAGACTTACTCTCTCAGTTTGCCTCTTTCTCAGCTATTCCTCTAATTTGTACATGCTGCCTAAATTTTGATTGGGGTGTGTCAATTTATTACTAGACCTGATTATATAACTTTTCCCACAAACAGTCCACATGACCAGGAAGAAGTGACAATATTCAAAACAATGTTTTTAAATAAGAGAAACTAGCTGTCCACACCCAAGTGAGGTTAAGGTTGCTTTGCCATTTCTTTTTTTAATGTAAAAATAAATAACAATAGTTGATTCTAGGGCCCTTGGGATGGGGGGTAGAGGTGGAGAAGGAAAGATAAGTAGAAAAAGACACTAGAGAACATTTTAAGCTGGCCTTCTCCCTTTCTCAATTAAAGATTCAGAAGTAGTAATAAGTATATATAGTGTCCTGATATTTATAGTATTTGGCAATCAAACAGTCCCTTAACCCCTTTGATAAAATAGCACTTTATTCACTCAAAAGTACCATGTATTGCTTGTGAATGGTAATGTGCCCTTAAAAAGCTTGTCACCTCTTCCAAGCGTTCTTCACTGTATGAGTCTACTTACTTTGTGATTATATGCTGAATGTGATGATAAAAAGTAGTGCCAACCTCAATATAGGCAATTCTTGGTTGACTCTAGAAATTCTTTTCAACTCATCAGAATTTTACCAGAGGTGACATTTCTATCCCTGTTGTAAAAAGTACCTAAGAAAAACTGTGACCTTTAATACTTTATGTTGCCTCAGTCTTTATGATAGCATTGTTATTATCAAAAAAGGTTATTTTTTTCACTGAAGATCCCATCATCTGAAAAAAAAAAAAAGCTCATGCCAATCAATTACTCAATTTATGGATATTGAATAAATGCCTGTCACAGTATTATGATAAGTGCTGTTGCAGAATCAGAAAATTAACTACCTATGATCCTTCCCCTTAAGTTGTCTGTATTCACACTGGAAAGGCCAAGCTCATATACAGAAAATATATTAACCATTTTATTCACATGAAAATTTAAGCACAAGCATAGAAAGAGTACAGAGGAAAAATAAATCACTTTGAGCAAAGAGGAATGAAAATTGAAACAGGTTATAGGAGTGTAGGATCTGATAAACAGAGGTAAAGAGAGAAAGTGGGCATTTCTAGTGAACAAACTACATTGAATGAAAGCAAGAAGCCAAGTATTACTGAAGTCAGCATTAAAGGCTGAAAGGACAAAAGAATACTGAGTAAAAATTTATACATGTTGCCTGAGCTAGGGTGAGGGCAGACTAAGGAATACACTGAACATAAGTGGAATAGATACTCGATAATGGAAGAAATAGAATGCAGGGTATATTAGAGTTTGGAGGCATAAAGAGATATCAAGCTTTTGTTGTGATTCAAGCTATACAATGATAGAGCACAAATTAAATATAAGTACTATAAATGGAGAAGGGTGAAACTGATGAGTATGTCAAAAAGAAACAAACAACATAAAGGGAAGACTCAAAAAAAAAATGCCTTAGTGTGAGAAACTGGAATGATAGTTGTAATTACTGAGATAGGAGGCATGAAAATTAAGTATAGATAGATAAGATAGATAGTAGATAGATAGATAGATAGATAGAT